ATGTTTTATAGTGCAAAAATTTATTTTCTTAAATATTTCTTATCGATGTGGGATATATTTATAGTGTAAAATCTTATTCTCTTATATGTTTTTTATCGATGTGGGATGTATTGATTAGAGAAAATTGATAGTTTTAAGTGATGAAATATATTTTTTAGTGATAAATTATTTGGTCATCATTGAATGTGTGAGGTATATGTAACCAATATTAAAATTTTGTCATAATTGTAATGCATTATAGTGATGATTTTTATCGAAAAAAACTTATTTTATCTGTATGAACATTTTTTTTTACGAAATATATTCTTTATGATGAATTTTTTTGTTTATCATTAAATATGTATGTATTTGTGACTATTTTTTTAGATTTGTCACAATTGTGATAAGTTATAGTGATGATTTCAAAATTCATCACAAATTTCTATCACCAAAAATCATTTTTCTTGTAGTGGGGGTAGCTAACCCCTACATAATCAGCAGTACACAAGAGATCCACCTCTGGTGGACAAACATACAAAATACTAAGCCATGCGGGGCAAAAACCCCCTTTTTCACAAGAGTGTCTACAGCCATGTTAGCCTCTCTCAGCACATTTTTCACCTGAACTTGGGGGATCATGTTCAAAAGGGCCCTGCAATCCATAATAAGAGTGTTATAAGGGTGAAACCTGTTGACATTACCAATCAAAAGAAGATAAGCAACCTAACAATTAGTTTCAACAATAACAGAGCGGAAGTGATGAAAAACAGCAATATTGAGACCATCCCTAATGGCATATAATTTTACAGCAAGTGCAGTAGTAGGGCCAATATTGCGTGTGAAACCAATAACCCAGTGCCCTTGATAATCCCTAAAAAAGGCCTCCACAACCATCATTATTGGGATTACCAACAACAGATCCATCAGTGTTAAGTTTGAGCCATCTTGAAGAAGGAGGGTCCCAACCAATCAACCTAGTAGCCTTAGTACTTTTAGATGAAGGAAGGGGGTTAGAAAGCCAAAATTCCGCAACTTGTTCCACAATCAAACAAAAGGTCCTCTGAGGGTCAAAGTTATGCTGTTTGTAAAGAACCAAATTTCTCTAATTCTAGATGACCCAAATGGCAAAGTAAAAAATAATGATCCATGGGATATTAAAGATAGGGCTAGGAGACATATTTTGAGAGTGATGGCGAAACCAACTTTTGAGATCAAAACCATTATGGTTAGTAAGATGAAGAGAGAGTTTGTGGAAGGTAGAAGCAGTCAGGGGGCAGCTTTGAAAGATATGCTCAATAAACTCAGTCTGCCTTTTACATATTTTGCAAATAGGATCATCAACAATCCCTATGTGGTGAAGGAACTCCAAGGTTTTGATCCTACCATGGGCAAGTTGCCACAAAAGCATTTGGATTTTTGGGAGTGTAGGGGTAGTCTAGATCCAATTCCAGTCCAAAGGCAGTTGAGTAAATATAGGAATGAGGTTTCTATATGCAGAGGCAGTAGAAAAAATACCATTAGATTCCCTTTGCCAAGAAAACTCGTCAACGACAGAAGGGAGATTCGATAAAGGAATAGCCAAGATCTCCCTAACCAAGTCACTAGGCAAGGTGTAACCAATAGCATCCATGTTGATGGCACCATTACTGAGGGCATCAGAGAGAAGAATAGACTCCACATTTTCGATGAGTGGACCAAATAAAGTAGACCTTAAGGGTGCAGCACCAATCCAATGATCAAACCAAAAGGAAATGGAATGGCCGTTGTGAGGAATATACTTGATCCCAGACTTAAACAACTCATCAGTGCCTTTAGAGATACACTTAATGACAAGAGAGGCA